TATTGCTATTTTTAATATTTATAAAATTATATTAGATTATTGTTTGATTAATTTATGCGTTTTTGATACCTAGCTTCTCCTAAATACGAAATATTAGAATACCATAAATAAAGCTAAATTTTCCCACATCCATCAGAATCTTGTAAGTCATCCAAATCCCCTAGCTCAATCCCTATCTAGTTCCACTCATCCCTACAATCCTCCTCGATGGTTGAAGCGGCATTGGCCCAGAGATATTTAGTAGTATATATCTTGGAGTTCTGGCCATAGCCAGATTCTCCATACAAGACATGGGTGTATGTGGCTAAAGTGCTCTCGCTCAAACTCCACTGGTTTTAGCACCAGTGACGCGGTTGAGAGAGTAGCACAGGGGTCTCTCGGAGTCCTATTTTTCCTGTTTTATGGTTGGAGGGAAAAGCCTGGCTTGGGGTTCCCTGCCTGTTTGTATATATTGTATATAGGTATGACTGTATTTTTGTTTTTAATTTATTATCTTTAGGTTTTTTTTATTATTATTGAAATTTACAACTGTATTAAATGATAAATACAGCAAGTAAATATGAAACAAGTAACATGACATGTACAACATGAAAAGAAACTACTCATCGGTAGCACTCCAATTATATATCTATATTATAAGATCCCGAAGCCATCTTCTTTTCAGAAGCCTCAGAGGATTATCAGGAATAGAAGATGAAGCAAGGTTGGAAACAAGATGGTTCGGATAGTTCAGAAGTTTATTATGAAAGGATAGGTATCTGGATTGAGCTAAATCGGAATCATATGGTACATTAAGGTCGTTATGGATAATTTTATTTGTGACAAAGTAAGGAGCATTGAGGATTTTACGAAGGATTTTGAATTGTAGGGATTGGATACGAGAGGAATTTGATGGTTTAGTAGAGCCCCAAAGCTCGATTTCGTAAGTCCAAATATGCCTTATTATAGTAATATATATGAGTCTTTTGTAGATAATTTGAAGTTTAGAGTAAGTGCTGCAGTAGTCGAAAACGTCGTTTCTAGTCGTTTTAGTCTGGTATGGGGGTTCTTTAAGCTATTTTATTTTTTATTGAACATAGTTTTAGATAATTATTTTACTTTTGTTAATTTTATATATTCTGTATACATCATCTAAATGTGTTCATATATCACTATAATTATTGTCTACGTGACAGATTATTATATTTCTAAATAAGTATATAAATAAACTTAAATAAAACCAAACGTATATGATTAAATATTTCATAGTTAGGAATAGACTTTTTTTTAAACCTCTTCCAAAACTAGCTTAATTTGTTTGATTATTTGTTAAACTTTGTTTAATATAACATAAGTCACAAAAAGTCGAAAAAAGTAGGGATAGGTTCAGAATTTTATTTACAAATAAATCTAAAAGTATACCATTTTGATTTCGTTTAACTTTTGATTATTTGAAAGCATTCTGAATACCCTAAAAAATCACTGAAATCGAAAAAATTCATGTCCGATAAGATATTTATGTTGATTTATTTTACTTTTTTTAAAATCAATATTGTCATATTGCTGTAGCATGATGACAATTTTGAAATGAAATATTTTGCACCGACTGATAGAGTGGGTTCAATTATTTATGTAATCTTTATCATCGTTTAACTGCGCTACGTTTACCTCACTTTTACAAAAACTTCTTCGTTAAATAATTTTTGAATCCATATTAATAAATTTGAGGTTTATCTGGTAACATTTTGAGATTCACCTGAAGTTGTGTAAATTAATGATGTGATTTCGTGTCTAATCATCTTAAAGTAACCAAGTTTTCTAGATAAATTACTACAGTTAACAATTACAAAGCTTTTATTAATTGTTTTTCCGTGATATATGATGTAATATAATAAACATATAGCCTAAAAACACATTTTATTTTTTAAAAAAACTTAAAAAATGACTTTTCAAATATTTTTCATGCAAGGTGGTTATGAAGTTGTATTTTTCTCCCATATTTCTGTCATACGAATTGATGCATAATTATAAGTGACAAACTTAATGTTTCTGACTAAAATTTACGTTTAAATTATAGAAACAAACTGATTACTTCAATTATATAGCAAAGCTCTGGATCACATCAAACCGCCCTAATCGTAGAGAGGAAGTTGCCGTGACCAAGTTGAGAATAGGACACACGAACCTAGCTCATGTACATCTCATCACTAAGCAGCCAACACCAAATTGTCAGCATTGCAATAGCCTTCTCACAGTCAACCATATTTTCCAATAATGCACTTATTATACTTCAAGCCTAAATCGATTATCTCTAAAACGGATATATCAGCAGTATTAAGCAACAACGAATCAAACATTAAAACAGTGATAAAATTTCTTAAAATCCATAGACTATTAAATAAAATATAAAAATAAATATAATTTTTATTTTATTGTTCTTTTTTTATATATATTTTTTTAAATATTTATTTTAATATATTTCATTTTTTAAATATCTTTTTCATTTATTGCTCTATCTATCTATTATTAATTTTTGATTGTTCATTTTTTTTTCCTAGTTCTCCTCTAAAGTGTTTACAAATATAACCGACTCACAGGCTTTGATGACTTTAGGGTTTTACGCCTTAAGGCCTAAATAAACAAACTTCAATTATGTTCATGAAAACGTACATATCAGATTTAGAAACATTAAGCTTATCACTTATAAATACTTATCAATTCCTACGACATAACTCTGGGAGAAAAACACAATTTCATAACGACCTTACATGAAAAATATTTTAAAAGTCATTATTTTTATTTTTATAAATAAAATGTGTTTTAGGCAATTATGTTTATTACAATACATCCCATATCACGAAAAAACTATAAACTATACCACTTAATTATAGTCCGTTTTGTAGAAAATATGGTTACTTAAAGGTTTTTTTTTTTTTATTATTTTAATGGAATTTACAACTGTATTACATAGAAAATACAATAAGTAAATGTGAAATTGGTAACATGACATGTACAACATGAAGAGAAACTACCCATTCGTAGAACTCAAATTAAAGTTCTATATTAGAAGATCCCGAGGCCATCTTCTTTTCAGACGCCTCGGAGGTTAATCAGGGATCAAGGAGGAAGCAAGGTTTGAAACGAGAGGATTAGGATGGTTCTGCAGTTTGTTACGGAAGGAGAGGTATCTGGATTGGGCCAAATCGGAAACATATGGAACATTAAGGTCTTTATGGATGATTTTATTTGTGACAAAGTAAGGAGCGTTGAGGATTTTACGAAGGATTTTGGATTGTAAGGATTGGATACGAGAGGAATTCGATGGTTTAGTGGAGCCCCAAAGCTCAATTCCGTAAGTCCAAATAGGTCTTATTATTGTCATATATACGAGTCGTTTATAATTGATTGAAAGCTTAGACCGTTTGTCTAGTAAGTGCTGCAGTAGTCGAAAACGTCGGTCGGTTTCTAGTCGTTTCAGTCTGGTATGGGGGTTCCAAGTGAGTCGTTTGTCAAGGTGGAGTCCTAAGTATCTGATTTGTTCGACAGGGATAAGAGGGCTATTGTTGAAGGATACTGTAGGGTAGGAAGTCATAGGTTTGCGACGAAGAGTGAAGGTTATTTGATGGGATTTAATGGAATTCATTTTAATCCTCAAGTTTTGACACCATTTTTCAAGGCTTGTGATGTGTGATTGAAGAGTTTGGGATGCAATAGATGGATCGTTATTAACTGATAGGATACACGTGTCATCGGCATAGGTGGTAATGACAGTGTAGGATTGGGTTGAAATGTCAGCTGTATAAACTGTGTAAAGGATAGGACCTAGGATACTACCTTGAGGAACACCGGCAGACTGAGTAAAAAGAGATTAATAAGCATTGTTATGATTGACTTTGAAGTATCTGTCAGTAAGGTAGGAAGGGTACTTAAAGGGAATGGATATAAGTTGGATCTCAAAGTTTTTCTAGTAAACCACAATTTATTTTATCTTGAATTTAAAGCTTATTAAACAAGGAAGTTTTTGTAAAAGTTGGATAAATGTAGTACAGTTAAAGGATGATAAGAAAAAAAAATCAGAAATAATTTATCACTTTCTTTTTAACAAAACCTAACTGTGTTCGTCCACCCAATAGTCTTTTTTAAAGAGTTTTAACAATGGAAAACTCTACTTTCCTTTTAAAATAAATTTTTTCTAGTTTATCATGGAGAAATATTTAATTACTTTAATCAAATATTTTTTAAGTTATCGTTTCCTGTTCAACAAAAACGTGACTCGCTAAAAAAAAAACACAAATCTTTTTTATTCACAATATTTCTCAACTTCTTTTTCGGTGAAAAACTATTTATTTTCAAGTGTATTTATTATCAGCCAATTTTACACCAATTTTGTCAACTTAATGAGATCACATCTAATTACGACGTTTCGGTTCGTTGAGCCATTTTCAAGTCTAAACATTTTTTTTACAATTTACAATCATATTTAAAACATTATATATTTCAATATAAAGAAATTCTTTTTATATAAATAAATACCTATCATATACATGTCCTTTTTACTTATGCGAATTGCATGCGTCCACTCACAATATTTTTTTTTATTTTTGTCATGTCCACCATTAATAATTTTATAACATTATTATTACTCAATTATTTCTTATTAAATGATTCAATTAAGTTAAAATTACCTTATCATGTGTCACCGACATGTCCTCAGTCTCATTTCTATTCAGTGACTGGTTAGGGGAAGACTATTTATTTTAAAATATATACAAATCTTTTCTGCTGGAAATTGGGCAATTGTTTTATCAAATTTTTTCTAGATATTGATGTCTACTATTCACTTTTTAAGCATTTCCCTCTACTCACTGGACATCCTGTATATACGTGTGTCTGTTTATTGGAAAAAGGTGGACTCACAACATGTATTATACAAGTAATACACGATACGCATGGAACTGATCTAGATTTTATTTTGGAAAACATTGCATAATTAATTGCTGATAAGGTTGAGTACCAGTTGATAACAGGGTTTATAAGAGAAACGTTAAAAATAATATAAAATAAAGAAAACAAGTATGATGCTTGCTGTTGTTCTCTCAGTTATAATCTGTGCCTCACAACATTCCACTGTTGATGGGAATGCTATTCATAAGTGTGGATTTCCTGCTATACCACCTGAATATTCGCGAGTCAAGTCTATGAGTGCTGGTAAGTAGTTAATAATATTAAGGTAGTGAAAATAAAAATACACCTATGTATTATTAATATAGTTGGGGAGATATTGTTGAATGTAAATCAACAGTTAAGTAGGAGATATTTTGGAGTACATTCAATGTTTTTTTTTTTTTTTTTTTTTTTTTTGTGGTGACGTCAGATATTTTTTCCCGTTGGCATTACAGAACTTTGAGATCTCTTGCCTCCTTAACAAGTCTACTCCATCTCTGTTTATCTTAGGCCATTTCTTTGCAGTCATCAGCATGCTCTACTGGATTTTTGTTGATTCAATCTAACTACTTATTTTTTGCCTTCTATTGAGGCGTTTATTGTCATGTGGAAGCTTCTAGACGGATTGCTCCGAGCTACATGCTCTGCCCATCTTAACCTCCTGGCCTTCATATCATGAGATATTGATTGGCCAGTTTCTGTAAACTTTATTTAGTCTTGCGCCTCTATATGTTAGTATTGTGATTCCAGATCGCTCCGGTAGTAGGGTGAAGGATTTTTTTCTTAAATCTTTTGATAGTTTTTTCTATGGCACTGTTCATTGTCCTTTTGTCACAGCTATATAATATACTTCCCTTTATCATGGCATTTTACACTCATAATTTGAGATCCCTGAAGATTTTTAGGGATTTCAATACTTTTGAAATGAAGAAGAAAGCTATGTTTGCGCTTTATATACGCTGAACTATTTCTATCTGACGTCAGACATATCATTATAAAACATATTAACGTGAAAAATATAATATAATTTTTTGTATTTGTCTAAATCAGTTGTTTCCCAAATATGGTAAATTTTATTGTTATTAGGCAGAATATGTTTAAAAAATCGGTCTTATCTGTCTTCTATTATCTTGAAAATAAAACTTTACTTAGGTTTAAACGGCATTGGTTTTTTTTTCCCTATAAAAATATATATCTTTTATAATATCTCGCTATTATATAAAATAGGTTTTTAGTGTTTTTCATATTTTATTTTAGTTTAGTATTAAGAGATTAAGAGGTAACAGGAGCTCTCTTATTAGCTCTACAATTAGCACTAATTACACAGCTGTTTAATCTTAACCTCCTGGTCTTCATATCATGAGATATTGATTGGACAGTTTCTGTGAGCAGCTGTTTTTTTTATCTTTCTCCTATATATGTTAGTATTGTGATTCCAGATCGCCAAATGCGCTAAATTCAAAACAGAAAGCGACCCACATCCCACAACACTATTCAAAAATAATAGTAGTATTATAGTTTATTTTGTTTGTCTAAGGAAATTTCTGTACAAATAAATATAATGGTATAATTAACAATGTTAGATCGTGAGTCTAGTACTGCATAATGTCCACAGCATTAAGTATGCCTAATATAATAACAGATTAGTAAACAATATATATATATATATATATATATATATATATATATAATATATATATATATATATATATATATATATATATATATATACATAACAATTAGTAAAACAAAACAAAAATATACCAGAGGTATAAGACAAATGACAATATATAAATAAGCATTAATATATGTTATATGATTAACTATACCACTTAACAGTTCAATGAACAGCCCTGTATGAAATAATATAGTTGGTTTATTTTTTTCATAGTGTCTATTTTTATTATCTCCTCCACACTAGCATCTTCTCTGGATTCAGTGATAAACGTCTTCAAGTACTTATTTCTTGGTTCGTTGAACTTGATACATTGGATCAGAAAATGAGTTACCGGGTCAGTTACAAGGCAGTTGCATGCACCACACACCTCACTAGATTTAATAGTCAAAGTAGCATCTTTTAAGTATATTTTCATAAAATCTTTACTTGCTACTCTGAGACGACTAACGGCTCTTAATCTGTTTGAATTCAGAGCCCTGAACTGAAGAAAATCCTCTGGTATGGTAACATTAAAGGAGCAGATTTTTCTATATCTTGGGTTTGATTTAGAGTTTAACACTGGATGCGTGATGGTTTCTTATCTTTTCCATGTATTCACAAATAATAGCCATCCATAAAAAATTAAATAGTAGTAAATTAAATAAGATTTAACTTTAGTTACCAAATAGTTATATAATACAGAGGACGCTGACAGTAAATCCTCAGCACTCAGTAGGATAGTGTTCGACAAAAATGAGTCCTATTCTCAGAGAAAGCCGAAATGATATACGGAGAACAAGAAAATTGTTCTTATCCTTTATGTTTTTAAATAGACAAAACTAATAAAAGGCATGGCAAGATCTAATAATAATTGCATGGCATTTCAAATAATTATGTAATACATAATATTGTTAATGCTATTAATTAATTGTTAATTTATACTAATTGGAGTATTATTATTATAGAGATGAATATGATGCACGGACACCGAAAGCTATTCTAGAAATAAAGTTTTCAATAGAAAATAGAGACAGTCAATGGTAAAAAATTCCTAAACTTATAAGAACACAAACCTCGCGCGGGCTCATTACCGCGTATAGGGAGCGTCCCACGGGTGGCGGATGTGGGGATGGTCGGTGAAAATTCCTTGGAAGTTCCTCCCGGCTAAGTCCGATGGACTCGCTGACCAACAATGAGAGGGGCCCTCCAGACTTGCTGGAGGGAGGGGACCTCCAGACTTGCTGGAGGGTGTGACGTAGGATTGAACGCCCTACTCACATATCTTTAGTTCACCAAACACCACAAAAAGTCATGGATCTCCCTAAGGTAAAACGCTCATTATCCGGAGGTAAACTAGTCCCCCGTTCGGGTCTCCGGGTGGGGACTGCTTTAGGGGATTCATGGTGCAAGTTGAAATATAGGGATTTAAATATTGGTACGTGGAACGTAAGGAGTTTAAACACAGCAGGGGGGCTAAAATCGGTCGCGAATGTGGTAAATGGGTACAATTTGGATGTCTTGGCTCTGCAAGAGGTTCGCTGGCCAGGGGAGGGCTTGATGAGGGAAGGAAAGTACACTATTTGGTATGGAGGAAGCGGGAATCATTGTTTGGGTACCAGGTTTCTAATTAGGAGTAGATTACTATCCGCTTTGAGGGACGTACAATTCTTTAGTGATAGAATTTCGGTAGCTACATTTCAGGGACGTTGGTTTACATACATTGTCCGACCGAAGACAGTGACGATGAAGTCAAAAGTGAATTTTACGATAAACTCGAATGGGTTTATGATAAACTACCGCGAAACTACATGAAAATAATTGTAGGTGACGCCAACGCAAAGGTAGGAAGGGAAGAAGTTTATATTCCGACGATTGGTAAAGAAAGTTTGCACGAATATAGTAATGATAATGGGATCCGTCTGATAAACTTTGCCATCTCGAAAAACCTGATAATTAAAAGTACGACGTTTAAACATAAGGATATTCATAAATATACTTGGACATCACCGGATTCGCAAACACGAAATCAAATCGATCATGTCTTGATACAACACAGCTGGCAAAGCAGTATAATTAATGTACGGTCTTATCGCAGAGCAGAATGTGGGTCGGATCATGAATTAGTAATCGCGAAACTTCGACAAAAACTTAATATAAAAAAGAGAAAAGAAAACCGTTGCGATTTTGAGAATTTTAATTTGGAAAAACTAAAAAATCCATCAATTAGAAACCATTTCGAGCTAGATGTTAAGAATAGGTTTGAAGCTTTAGAGCTTCCTGACGAGGACCACGAGGATATTGACAAGTTATGGATAGAGATCAGGGATAATATTAAAGCAGTCGGTAACTCGTGTCTAGGGAAAAAGGAAAATAATAATAACAAACCGTGGTTTGATGAAGATTGCTTAAACATGTGCGAAAAAAGAAAAGCCGCTAAATTAAAAGCTCTAAATAATCCTAGCGAAGATAATCTGGAATACTTCCGAACCTCAAAGAACGAAACGACAAAATTGCTCAAAAATAAAAAAAGGGAGTATCTTAAAAATAAAATAATTGAAATAGAAACTAATAGAATCGAAAATAACGTAAGAGACATGTACAAAGGTATAAACAGATCACGTAAATATGTAGGGCCCGTAACGTCTGGAATTAGGGATGATAATAACAATATTCTGACCGATCCGGTTGACATATTGAATAAGTTTAAGGACCACTTTGACAATATTTTAAATACGGGAAATTATGATCTGTGTCCTCCTTCTGAGTACCAGAGTGCTGAACCGTTAATAGAAGGACCAAGTAAAGAGGAAGTTGAAGTAGCTATTGGAAAATTAAAATCATATAAATCAGCGGGAATTGATAATATTCCTACTGAACTAATTAAAGCATGCGGGGAAGCTGGAGTTTCTAAAATACATCGGTTGGTTAAAAAGATCTGGGTGAATGAGAAATTACCAGAAGAATGGAAAGAATCTATTCTTATTCCGATTCACAAAAAGGGTCCGAGGACGGATTGTAATAACTATCGAGGAATTTCACTCCTTCCGGTATGTTATAAAATATTCACTTCAATCTTAACCAGTCGAATCACGGAATACGCTGAGGAAATTATCGGAGACTACCAATGCGGATTTAGACGGAATCGTTCGACTATTGATCAAATATTTTCTTTACGGCAAATATTAGAGAAAAAATTGGAGTATAACGGTATTGTTCACCAGCTGTATATAGATTTTAAAAAGGCTTACGATTCTATTGACCGCCAGAAACTGTACAATATTCTAATCGAGTAGGGGATTCCAAAAAAACTAGTAAATCTAGTCAGGATGTGCTTGACGGAGACACTCAATAAAGTTAGAATCGGTAATAATTTGTCCGAAAAATTTGAGGTCCTTTCGGGCTTAAAACAGGGGGATTCTCTTTCGCCTGTCCTGTTCAATTTGGCATTAGAACATGCCATTAGGGAGGTAATGCGGACCGAGAAAGGGTTGGATCTGGGTGGGACAACATCCGTGCTGGGCTATGCTGATGATCTGGTACTGTTAAGCGAAGACGTTGAAACTATAAAACTAAAGACGACAACGTTAATGAAAGCCGGTAAAGAACTAGGACTCGAAATAAACGTGGATAAAACAAAATATATGATTAGCTGCAAAAATGGCGATACTACTGGTGATATCGATATAGATGGTAATATGTTTGAACAGGTAGATAAATTTAGGTATCTAGGTTCTACGATAACTAGAAAAAACGAAATTGAAGAAGAGATTAAGGTTAGACTGAAGGCGGGGAATGCTTGTTATTTTTCTGTGACAAAACTACTTAGTTCGCGCCTCTTGTCCCGAAACTTAAAAATTAGAATCTATAAAACAATTATCTTGCCAACAGTTCTTTATGGATGCGAAACTTGGCCGCTTACATTAAGGGATGAGCAGCGTCTTAAGGTTTTTGAAAATAAAGTATTGCGTAGAATATTCGGACCGAAGAAGGATGAGTTAACCGGAGACTTCAGACGGTTAAACAACGCCGAATTGCGTGAGCTGTATCCGGGTAATATAATTGAGGTAATTTCATCGCGGCGAATCAAATGGGCTTGTAAAGTTGTTGGGCTTAGTAACGAGAGAATTCCTAAAAGGTTAATATTTGCTGTGCCGAATGGTAAGCGTCCGAGAGGTAGACCGAAGCGAAGGTGGGAAGATTGCATTAAAGCCGATCTGAAGGGACTGGGTTTGGACGGCGAACGGTGGAGGGAGGTGTGTAACAAGCGATTGGTGGTGTCGGCATCGAACCTTCGGGTTCGCTAAGCCGTATTATTATTATTATTATTATTATTATTATAAGAACACAAAACTTATTAATATTTCCCTTTACGTATGGATATATATATATATATATATATATATATATATATATATATATATATATATATATATATATATATATATATTTATATATTTATATTTAAACTTGTTCGTAGTTATTTTGAAGGGCGCGGATGAACCGATGTTTAAACGCTGTAACAAGACAACTTGCTGCCCAACTCTATATACATGCTGTGGGGGTGGCAAGAATTGCTGTTTCCTAAACTTCGTAAGACCACCTCTGTAAGTATTAAATACTTAATTTATAATAATACAAATTAATTATATATATATATATATATATATATATATATATATATATATATATATATATATAAGTGCTCATTTATAATTTATAATTAGTAAGTTGCTAAACCAGAACTTCATTCTAAAACATATACCTGAAAAAAAACGATAGACCGTTGCTCAAGATGTGCACGCCTTAATTGTCAATTTCTTGGATTGAAAATGTCTTAGGAGACCAATACAAGGTTCAGAATTCAAGGAAAATTAGTGTACGAATGGAGATCGATTTTTAAACACCGGTATATTTCCCTACAACTCATCCAAGTCCTTGTGGAGCGAAGAAATCTAACGGCGCTCTTCTTCGGAAAAACATTTATTTCCCCCCATAACTCCCATTCCGTGTAGGTAAATTTTGAAACAAATTCAACACTGCACTAATGTTGAAATGGTATTTTAACGATTTCAACTCTAGATGATTAAGAAAATAGTAAAAAACAACAAGTGTGTCTATCATTTTAAGGCATATAAAATGTCAATATTTATTGATATTGGATTTAAATGATCCTCAAGGTCTGAGAAGATTGTCCCTATTTCAATATCATAATTTATACGTAGTTATATTTTTATAAGTTTTTTTAATTTCGATGGACATGTCTAACATTTTGACATTGAATGTACATGTACTACAATAAATTTCTATTCCCACAAAGTTTAGTTATTTTTTTCTTACAATATTAATGTGATATATGGTATCTGATACCTGATGTCTGAATTAACGAAACGTTTCCTGTTTAGATAGTTACTAATATTTGTCTAAAATAAGAAACAATTCAATAATAATCATAACTTTATTATGCATGTGTATATTTTGAGTTTTGGTTTTATTTTTCAGAGTTATAAAGTCAAAAAATTGCGAATAATTATGAAGAATCGTTCATCAATATCACTATGTGTTTATTGGAACAATTATCAACTCTTCGAAATGGTTTATACAAGAGTAAGAAGGCTGTAAATATATATATATATATATATATATATATATATATATATATATATATATATATATATATATATATATAATATATATATATATATATATATATATATATATATATATATATACAATATATACAATATATATATTGTACAATTTAGATGTTTCTTTGGAGAAGCGCTAATAAACAGAGATGAGCAATATGATTATTACCTTTAAAAAGTTTAAGAATTTATACATTTGAATGAAATTTGATAGTTTTTATACTGTTCAACCAATATTTAGTTTCTTCTGTAGTTTAAAAAAATTATACTCCTTAATCTTATCAGGCAATTAACAAAATACGGTTTACGTATTAATGCGCTCACAATCCATATAAATCTACATCGTTGATTACAGAGGCAGGCGTCATACCGCTGGTATTTGCTATCTAAATCTATAATAACATTGGACAAAATTGATTTAATATCACACTAGAAGTGAAATAATAATCTAATTTTGGCAATAATATAATTTAGAAAATATGTATAAATATTATTTTACCAATCTTAAAAACCAAATTTTGTTGAAATCAGTCTTTTAAAATTTCTTTCTTAAAATCTAAAACTTTTCATTGTTACTCAACTGGATCTAATTAGTGTTACCCGAAATCGGTCTTGGTCTTGCAAGGTGAATGACCAAGACTGCGTAACTGTTGCAAGACCAAGACCAATACTAGTATAAAAAAATCTTTTTTCGAATAAAAATTAACGCAATATAGTTACTAATACTTGAAAATTTTAGTTACTATATGTAAAGGATTGGTATAGCCAATATACTTTTGCATTTAACTCTTCTTTTTTTTTATTCGGGCTAAGTTAGGTTTCTCCTATCTTAAAAAAATACATTAATATCTCTACAGTGATAAGCTAAGAGGTAACTGCAAGACTGTTGCAAGACTCCACGACCAAGACTAAGTATGCAAGAGCAAGACTCGTCTTGGTCTCGCCATTGGGCAACACTTTTTTTTTTTTTTTTTTAATTTCTTTATTGAGTATTATAACAATCTGTCTGTTGGACATTGGTTATAGTGAGGTAGGATGACATTCACACTATATGTACAAAAAAATAAAATAAATAGAACAAAATAATAATCAAAAGTATATACAATAGACAATAAAATAAAATAACCTAAATAATAAGAAAATTAAAACTAAGAAAAAAAAACATATGCATACAATCAGGCGAGGGAACTCCTGGAGAACCCTGCGCTACTCTCCCAACCGCGTCACTGGTACTAAAGCCAGCGGAGATTGGTCGAGAGCACTTTAGCCATATACACTCATGTCTTGAGTGAAGAATCTGGCCATTGCCAGAACTCCAATTTATACAATCTACAAAAGGTCGCGAGGCCACTGCCGTTTCAACCTTCTTGGAGGATTATAGGGATGGGAGGTGCTTGAGGATTGTGCAAGAGGATTTGGGTGGTAAGTAAGGTTCTGCTGAAATTTGGAGAATTTTTATGTCTAGGACAAATGGGATGTTGAGATCATGATGTAGGGTTATGTTGGTTACATAGAAAGGAGCATCGACTATTGTTCGAAGGACTTTAGACTGGAAGGATTGTATGCGCTTGATGTTAGAAAATTTTGCTGATCCCCACAGTTGGGCAACACTAGATGTGATTAATAAATCAGGTCTTTTACGAAAATAAAAACAAAACGTTTTGTGTGATAAGGCACCACGGATGAAAGGATTATTGTGTAGTCCAAGTTAATGTTTAGTTCTAATTTTATATTCTTTTTTTTATAGTTAAACTTAATTGTATTTCTTTTATTATAAATCTAAATTATTATTCATAATTTTTATTTCCTTTAACAGTTTATTTAAATCAGTAGAAATAAGTAAATTCATCATTAGTATTAACAATAGCCAGTTTCATTTTCTTATTTTTCTTTAGTTTTGTTTTCACGTTTTATTTATATTATATTCTTCATTTTTAAGGTTTAATAAGGTACTGTAAAACTCTATTCGAGAGTTATTACTATTTACTATTTATTTTAAAATATATACAAATCTTTTCTGCTGGAAATTGGGCAATTGTTTTATGAATTTTTTTCTAGATATTGATGTCTACTATTAACTTTTTAAGCATTTCCGGCTACTCACTGGACATCCTGTATATACGTGTGTATGTGTGTCTGTTTATTGGAAAAATTTGGACTTACGGCATGTATTATACAAGTAATACACGATACGCACGGAACTGATCTAGATTTTATTTTGGAAAACATTGCATAATTAATTGCTGATAAGGTTGAGTACCAGTTGATAAGAGGGTTTATAAGAGAAATGCTAAAAATAATATAAAATAAAGAAAACAAGTATGATGATTGCTGTTGTTCTCTCAGTTATAATCTGTGCTTCACAACATTCCACTGTCGATGGGAATGCTATTCATAAGGCAGGATTTACTGATATACCGCCTGAATATTCGCGAGTCAAGTCTCTGAGTGCTGGTAAGTAGTTAATAATATTAAGGTAGTGCTTTTAAAATACACTTATGTATTATTAATATAGTTGAACTGAAGAAAATCCTCTGGTATGGTAACATTAAAGGAGCAGATTTTTCTATATCTTGGGTTTGATTTAGAGTTTAACACTCTGTCGATGTCCTTGGATGCGTGATGGTTTCTTACTTTATCCATGTATTCACAAATAATAGCCATCCATAAAAAATCAAATAATAGTAAATTAAATAAGATTAGAGTATGTGTCATGGCCGCTACTGCAGTTTAGTTTTCAGTTCGCTCTGTGATTATTATTTTGCTATGTGCTTATTAATCAAAACTCTGTGTTAATAATTGATTAACAGTGACATTATAAACAGTTGAACATTTTTAAGTTCACGGATAAAGAGGTGAGTTACAATTTATTAACAATGAAGTGATAAATTACTGCTCGTTTGAATAGCCCATGTGGTAGTAACTCACCTAACAAGCCTCCGGTACTTCAAGGTTTTACTGACCCCGAGCCGCCCCCTATTTTTGTCTCTAAAATTGAAAATTTTATATCATTCGTTCAAGAAATTGCCAATCTTATCGGAAAAACCAATCTGTTTTTCTTGGGTTAATGACATTAAGATTAACACGAGCTCTAAAGAAAATTATAAAACTCTGATAAATTATTTTACAACTAAAAAATATGAATTTCATTATTACCAACTGAGACAAGAAAAGGCGTATCGGATGGTATTGAGAGGCTTGCATTCAACCACTCCCATATCCGTTATCAAATCTGATCTAGAGGAAATAGGACATAACGTTAGGCATATAGCATGCGTGCTACATCCAACGCAAAAATATCCATTGCCACTGTTTTTCGTTGATTTGGAGAGTGCGAGTAATAGCATTGAAATATTTCAAGTTAAGAGGCTTGTGTATTCCACAGTAAAATTCGAAGAGCCTAGACAAAAACCTGCCATAGCTCAATGCACCAAGTGTCAAGACTTGGGGCACACAAAAACCTACTGCCATCATCAAGCGAGGTGCGTTAGATGTGCCGGGCCACACGCATCTAACACTTGTCAGATCTCTCGAGACCAGCCTCCTAAATGTGCTCTCTGTGGCTAAGACCATCCTGCAAGCTATAAAGGATGCACAGTATATAAAAAATCCTATAAGTTAAGAACCCATAACATAGCCTTAAAGTGCAGCCAACTAAATAAAGAAACTTACACCCAGCTACCAGAAATTGATATTACAAATTTCCCTCAGTTGCGAAAAACAAACTACCCATTCAACACAACAAGAACCAACTACTTCAACTGAAATCGCCCATCCTCATCAGGATTCTACCAAAACTAGCACCCATACCACCATCCAGAAGCAGCCACCTCAAAGCCAGGTGCCTCAGGCCTCCCAAGCTAAACCTCATACTCCCAATCCTCTCATATTTCATCCTCCGCGTCAGCAAATTTCCCCTCATAATCTACCTCTACGAGTCAAATTACCGCCACAGCAATCGGACCCATCTCATCCTAATGTCCAGAAAAAAAACCCAGCACAAGTACCGTCGAATCCAGTCCCACCTCGTACACAACAACGAATCCCACTCTCAGTTAACACTCCTCACCCCCCACCTGAACCTATCGTAAATCCACTTCACAATCAACATCCATCTGATCTAACTTCCATTCTATCATCCTTCCTATTGGACCTACAAAACACCATAAAACCTCTTATCACTCTACTAACCAGAATCCTGACCGCAATTCCGTTTAATTTCCCTCGATGAGCACAAAGCCCCTAACTATTCTTTTATGGAATGCTAACGGACTACACAACCACCGTGACGAACTTGACTTATTTCTTCATGACAATCACATTGATATAGCTATACTGACTGAAACGCATTTCACAAAACGAACACATTTTCACATACGAGACTACATCACTTATAGATCTGACCATCCAGACAACACTGCCCACGCCGGTTCTTGCATCATTATATATAAATCTTTACCCCATTCCCTTATTCCTTCCACTCCAACTGACGCCATTCAATCAACTTCTGTAATCCTTTCAACTCGCCCTTTCCATTTCACAGTCTCAGCTATATATAGTATAACAGCTGTATACTGTCCTCCTGGTAATTCCCTCTCCTTTAATCTCCTTGATACATTGTTCCAATCCCTGAGATCGCACTTTATTGCTGGAGGAGATTACAATGCTAAACACCAACGGTGGAATTGTCGAACATCCAACTCCCGCGGTAACATCCTTTCCCGTCTCTCATCTTCTGATAGTTATTCAATCCTTTCGCCCATGAGTCCTACTTATTGGCCAACATCCCTCAAAAAACGTCCCGATATCCTGGATATATTTATCACCTCCCAGAGTTTCTCCTTCCAAACTATAATCAAATCCCTGGATGACCTGTCTTCAGACCATAATCCAGTTCTGCTTTCACTACATTCTGACTTTGCTCCTAAACCATCACCTCCCAAACTGATCACTGGACGAGTAAACTGGGACAAATTTCGTGATGATTTGGAAAACAAACTAGACCTCAAAATTCCGCTAAAGACAAAAGATGACATTAATGGTGCCATAAAAAAAACCGACATCATCAGTAACAGACAGTATAAATAATAACACCTTTATCAATAAGATTAACAACCCACAAAATACTAACTTGCCACAGCATATTCGTATCTTATTAAAGGAAAAACGCAGAGCAAGATCGAAGTGGCATCGAACTAGATAACTAACAGATAAAGCACATTACACCCAACTGACTAACAAACTGAAATCAGAAATTAGAAAATACAAAATTCAAAATTTACTAAATTTTACTGAAAAACTTACACCTACCGATAAATCACTATAGACGACCACTAAAAGGCTCCAGAAATTTAAAGACTGCAACCATCCACTACTCACTGAAGACCAAACCTGATCCAAATCCGACGAAGAAAAACCCCAAATATTTGCTCACCACCTCTTTAAAAATTTTAATCCACATCCCGATATTCTTAATCCAAATCACCTTGTATTGAAGCAGAACTAGATATCCCACTCCAAATGTCGCTTCCATCTAAAGCCTTTCATCCTTCAGAAATATCCAACATCATTCACAGGTTACCTTCCCGCAAAGCTCCTGGACACGACCTAATTACATTTCAGATCCTAAAACTACTTCCTCGGAAAGCCATTCTATTCCTTACTTATATATATAATGCTGTACTCCGATCCACATATTTTCCCGACCCTTGGAAACTATCCATTATCAAAATGATACATAAACCCAAAAAACCGCTAGAATACCCATCCTCTTACCGTCCTATCTCTCTTTTACCCATCATGGGCAAAGTCCTGGAAAAACTCATCCTAAAACACCTGTACCCAATCCTAGATTCTAATTACATAATCCCAGATCACCAGTTTGGATTCCGCAGATCCCATTCCACTATCCAGCAATGATATCGTGTGGTCAACATCCACCACACGATGGCATTGCTGGATAGTTCCTGGATAGTCTCCTCTGTTGGCACCCGGGACTACTTTACAAACTCCGTATATTCCTACATCCTACATACTTCCTCATTATCCGTTCCTATGTAACTGATAGATACTCAAAAGTCAATCACAATAATGCTTATGCATCCCTCTTTTCCCAGACTGCTGGTGTTCCTCAAGGTAGTATCCTTGGTCCTATCCTTTACACAGTTTATACAGCTGACATCCCAACCCATCCTAACACTGTTATTACCACGTATGCCGATGATACATGTGTCCTATCCGTTAATAATGACCCAACCATTGCATCCCAAACTCTTCAATCGCACATCACAAGCCTTGAAGAATGGTGTCAAAACTGGAGGATTAAAATAAAATCTAATAAATCCCATCAAATCACCTTTACCCTTCTACGTAAACCTATGACCTCATGCCAACAAATCCGATACCTTGGACTTCACTTGGACAAACGTCTAACTTGGAATCCTCATACCAGACTGAAACGACAAGAAACCGCTCGACGTTTCCGACTACTCCAACACTTACTAGATAAACGCTCTAAGCTTCCAGTTAATTACAAAGACTTATATACATGACTACAAAAAGACCTATTTTTACTTACGGAGTTGAGCTTTGGGGTTCCACAAAGCCATCGAATTCCTCTCGTATCCAATCCTTACAATCCAAAATCCTTCGGAAAATCCTCAATACTCCTTACTTTGTCACCAATAAAATAATCCATAATGACCTTAATGTTCCTTATGTTGCCGATTTGGCCCAATCCAGATACCAATCCTTCCATAATAAACTTCAGAACCATCCGAATCCTCTCGTCTCTAACCTTGCTTCCTCTTCTATTCCTGATAACCCTCCGGGGCGTCTGAAAAGAAGATGGCCTCGAGATCTCTTATTGTAAATACATCTTATTTTTAGAGTGCTACCAGTGGGTAGTTTCTCAACAAGTCATTTCATGTTATTATTTTCTGTTATCAAATTTACTTTGATAACAGTTGTAAATATCATGAATAAATAAAAAATAAAAAATAAGATTTAACTTTAGTTAACAAATAGTTGCGATAATACAGAGGACGCTGACAGTAAAGCCTCAGCACTCAGTATGATGGTGTTCGACAAAGAACGAAAGAGGAAGAGTCCTATTCTCAGAGAAAGCCGACATGAGATGAACAACAAGAACACTGTTTTATCCTTTATGTTTTTAAATAGACAAAACTAATAAAAGGCATGGCAAGATCTGATAATAATTGCATGGCATTTCAAATAATTATGTAATACATAATATTGTTAATGCTATTAATTAATTGTTAATTTATACTAATTGGAGTATTATTATTATAGAGATGAATATGATGCACGGACACCGAAAGATTCTCTAGAAAAAAAGTTTTAAATAGAAAATAGAGATAGCCAATGGTAAAAAATTCCTGAACTTATAAGAACACAAAACTTATTAATATTTCCCTTTACTTATGGATATATATATATATTTTGATTATATTATTATTATATATTTTGAACACAAGTTTTGTGTTCTCTGTGTTGTGTCAAGTTTAAATATATATATATATATATATATATATATATATATATATATATATATATATATATATATATATATATATATATATATATTTTGATTATATTATTATTATATATTTTGAACACAAGTTTTGTGTTCTCTGTGTTGTGTCAAGTTTAAATATATATATATATATATATATATATATATATATATATATATATATATATATATATATATATATATATATTTAAACTTGTTCATAGTTATTTTGAAGGGCGATGATGGACCGATGTTTAAACGCTGTAACAAGACCAATTGCTGCCCAATTCACTATACATGCTGTGGGGTTGGCAGTAAGTGCTGTCTCCTAATCTCCATGAGACCACCTATGTAAATATTAAATACTTAATTTATAATAACACAAATTAATTATATATATGTATATATATAAGTACTCCTTTATAATTTATAATTAGTAAGTTGCTAAACCAGAACTTCATTCTAAAACATATACCTGAAAAAAACGATAGACAGTTGCCCAGGATGCGCACGCCTTAATTGTCAATTTCTTGGATTGAAAATGTCTTAGGAGACCAATACGAGGTTCAGAATTCAAGGAAAATTAATGTACGAATGGAGATTGATTTTTAAACGCCGGCAAAAAGTTGTAGGGACAACTCGTCCAAGTCCTTGTTGAGCGAAGAAATCAAACGGCGCTCTTCTTCGGAAAAATACTTATTTCTCCCTATAACTTACGTTCCGTTTAGGTCTATTTTGAAAAAACTTCAACACTGCACTAAAGTAGAAATGGTATTTTAACGATTTCAACTCTAGATGATTAAGAAAATAGTAAAAAATAACCAGTGAGTCTATCATTTTGAGGGTAATAAAATGCCAATATTTACTGATATTGGATTTAAATAATCCTAAAGGTCTGAAAAGATTGTCCCCATTTCAATATCATAATTTATACGTAGTTATATTTTTATAAAATTTTAAAATTTCGATGGTCATGTCTAACATTTTGACAGTGAGTGTACTTATACTACAATAAATTTCTATTCCCACAAAGTTTAGTTATTTTTTTCTTAAAATATTAATGTGATATATGGTATCTGATACCTGAAGCCTGAATTGGCGAATTGGTTTCCTGTTTAGATAGTTACTAATATTTGTCTAAAATAAGAAATAATTCAATAATAATCATAACTTTATTATGCATGTGTATATTTTGAGTTTTGGTTTTATTTTTCAGAGCTATGAAGGCAAAAAAATGTGAATATTTTTGAAGAATCGTTCATCAATGTCACTATGTGTTTATTGGAACAATGATCAACTCTTCGAAATGGTTTATACACCTTTTTTTTTATGAGTATTGTGATAATTTTACAAAGCGATTTTTATACACAAAGTATGATCCGAAATAAACGATTTGAAAGTCGTTGTGATTTTTTTTTTATATTTATTTTATTTTTATTTTTTTTTATATATTACAACATGTCATACAGATAAGTTACAATATGCATACATATCTATATATATATATATATAATAATAATAATAAGGCTTAGCGAACCCGAAGGTTCGATGCCGACACCACCAATCGCTTGTTACACACCTCCCTCCACCGTTCGCCGTCCAAACCTAGTCCCTTCAGATCGGCTTTAATGCAATCTTCCCACCTTCGCTTCGGTCTACCCCTCGGACGCTTACCAGTCGGTACAGCAAATATTAACCTTTTAGGAATTCTCTCGTTACTAAGCCCAACAACTTTACAAGCCCATTTGATTCGCCTCGATGAAACTACCTCAATTATATTATCCGGATACAGCTCATGCAATTCGGCGTTGTGTAACCGTCTGAACTCTCCGGTTAACTCATCCTTCTTCGGTCCGAATATTCTACGCAATACTTTATTTTCAAAAACCTTAAGACGCTGCTCATCCCTTAATGTAAGCGGCCAAGTTTCGCATCCATAAAGAACTGTAGGCAAGATAATTGTTTTATAGATTCTAATTTTTAAGTTTTGGGACAAGAGGCGCGAACTAAGTAGTTTTGTCACAGAAAAATAACAAGCATTCCCCGCCTTCATTCTAACCTTAATCTCTTCTTCAATTTCGTTTTTTCTAGTTATCGTAGAACCTAGATACCTAAATTTATCTACCTGTTCAAACATATTACCATCTATATCGATATCACCAGTAGTATCGCCATTTTTGCAGCTAACCATATATTTTGTTTTATCCACGTTTATTTCGAGTCCTAGTTCTTTACCGGCTTTCATTAACGTTGTCGTATTTAGTTTTATAGTTTCAACGTCTTCGCTTAACAGTACCAGATCATCAGCATAGCCCAGCACGGATGTTGTCCCGCCCAGATCCAACCCTTTCTCGGTTCGCATTACCTCCCTAATGGCATGTTCTAATGCCAAATTGAACAGGACAGGCGAAAGAGAATCCCCTGTTTTAAGCCCGAACGAACCTCAAATTTTTCGGACAAATTATTACCGATTCTAACTTTATTGAGTGTCTCCGTCAAGCACATCCTGACTAGATTTACTAGTTTTTTTGGAATCCCCTGCTCGATTAGAATATTATACAGTTTCTGGCGGTCAATAGAATCGTAAGCCTTTTTAAAATCTATATACAGCTGGTGAACAATACCGTTATACTCCAATTTTTTCTCTAATATTTGCCGTAAAGAAAATATTTGATCAATTGTCGAACGATAGCGTCTAAATCCGCATTGGTAGTCTCCGATAATTTCCTCGGCGTATTCCGTGATTCGACTGGTTAAGATTGAAGTGAATATTTTATAACATACCGGAAGGAGTGAAATTCCTCGATAGTTATTACAATCCGTCCTCGGACCCTTTTTGTGAATCGGAATAAGAATAGATTCTTTCCATTCTTCAGGTAATTTCTCGTTCACCCAGATCTTTTTAACCAACCGATGTATTTTAGAAACTCCAGCTTCCCCGCATGCCTTAATTAGTTCAGTAGGAATATTATCGATTCCCGCTGCTTTATATGATTTTAATTTTCCGATAGCTACTTCAACTTCCTCTTTACTTGGTCCTTCTATTAACGGTTCAGCACTCTGGTACTCAGAAGGAGGACACAGATCATAATTTCCCGTATTTAAAATATTGTCAAAGTGGTCCTTAAACTTATTCAATATGTCAACCGGATCGGTCAGAATATTGTTATTATCATCCCTAATTCCAGACGTTACGGGCCCTACATATTTACGTGATTTGTTTATACCTTCGTACATGTCTCTTACGTTATTTTCGATTCTATTAGTTTCTATTTCAATTATTTTATTTTTAAGATACTCCCTTTTTTTATTTTTGAGCAATTTTGTCGTTTCGTTCTTTGAGATTCGGAAGTATTCCAGATTGTCTTCGCTAGGATTATTTAGGGCTTTTAATTTAGCGGCTTTTCTTTTTTCACACATGTTTAAGCAATCTTCATCAAACCACGGTTTGTTATTCTTATTTTCCTTTTTTCCTAGACACGAGTTACCGACCGCTTTAATATTATCCCTGATCTCTATCCATAACTTGTCAATATCCTCGTGGTCCTCGTCAGGAAGCTCTAAAGCTTCAAACCTATTCTTAGCATCTAGCTCGAATTGGTTTCTAATTGATGGATTTTTTAATTTTTCCCCCCTACCTCCAGCAAGTCTGGAGGTCCGCTCCCTCCAGCAAGTCTGGAGGGCCCCTCTCATTGTTGGTCAGCGAGTCCATCGGACTTAGCCGGGAGGAACTTCCAAGGAATTTCCACCGACCATCCCCACATCCGCCACCCGTGGGACGCTCCCCATACGCGGTAATGAGCCCGCGCGAGGATATATATATATATATATATATATATATATATATATATATATATATATATATATATATATATATTATATATATATATATATATATATATATACATACATATCTACACACACACTCATTGGATAATACTTACTCAGATACTTACATAATACAGACATACTTACTCACACAACACACACGCAAACACATCATATAAATACAATTTGTTGATTGGGGTGATTGAGTTTATTGTTACTTGTTTGGTGATTGATAAGAAACCGTTAAATTTTCACGAATAAACTGATTGATTTAGACGTTTAGTAGTATGTGTTTAGTCCGTCTGTGTGTATACCGTTTCAAAGATGTCTTGTCATAGTTTCCTATTGTGCAAATAATAGGGTTTTCAGACGTTGGAGTTCAAAAAAAAGCTCAAAAAATCTCTGTGTTTTAAAATAAATATATTTTTTTATTCTGGGAAGCTATTTATTCTGCTAGCATAATAGATAATTTGGTATAACGTGGATAATTGTTTATGATTCTCATACACATATTTAATTAGAATTAATTCGAATTTTTTTGTAATTAGTCTCGCATGTGTAACTCCATACTGGGGCAGAATAAGTGATTAAAGGGCGGATAACTGTTTTATATAAAATTTGTTTATTTTTTGTATTCAGTTGTGAATATCTATTAAAATATGGTGACATTTTGCTGATCATGGTTTTTGCTTTATTGCACTTGTTGTTAATATGTTGAGTAAAATTTAGGGATCTATCAAGTTCTAGGCCTAAATATTTCACGGAACTGGGCCAAGGAATCTGTTCTTCTTTTATGTGTATATTGTGTTTTATGCGTGGTCTTCTTTTTGTAAAAATAATTGCTTCAGTATTTTTATCATTTATTTTTATTTTCCATTTTTCAAAATACTTGCAGAGTTTTATGAATTAGGATTGTAACCTGTTAGTTATATTATCGATTCTAAAAGAAGAGGTGTAAATAGCTGTATCATCTGCATATAAGGAGTATTCTATTGAAGGAATGGAAGGGAGGTCTGAGATGTATAGGCTGAATAGTGTAGGAGAAAGACAGGAGCCTTGAGGGAGACCTGCAGATAGGAAGTGGATTGAGGAATGGTCATTCTTTATTGTAATGCAAAAGGATCTATTGTTGAGATATGAGTGAAGTAGGTGGATTATGTAAGGTGGGAATTTATATAAAATGAATTTATGGACTATACCCTCTTGCCATACCGTGTCAAAAGCTTTTTCTATGTCTAGGAGGAGCATAGCGACGTGCTTCTTTTCATTGAACGCTTTGGTAATATAGTCGGTCAGTCTGGCTAGTTGGGCTACTGTTGAGTGTTGTTTTCTGAACCCGAATTGCTCGTTAGATATCAGACTGTTTTGAGATATATGGCTCAGGATTCTTTTTAAAAGTAGGTTTTCAAAAAGTTTTGAAATTATGTTAAGTAGACTTATTGGTCTGTAACTACGAACATCTGCTGGGTCTTTGTTTGGCTTCGGAATCGTTATGATTTTTGCTGTGTTCCAAGCCGTCGGGAAATATCTAAAGCGAAGCATACAGCTATACGTCTTTGTTAGGAATAAAATAGCCTTCTTGCTTAATTTCTTAATGGCAATTGGAGGTATAGAGTCTGGACCAGGCGATTTTTTAGTTTTTAACTGTTTTATAACCTGTTTCACCTCTTCGAATGAGATTGAAGGGAATGTATTCGGAACTGGTTCTTTGAGAAAGCTTTTTACGGATTTAATGATAGTTCGATTGTGGTTGTTGGTGCCTAGATCAGCCGAAACATTAGACGCTAATGTGAAATAGTTTGCCATAGCTTCTGCCTTCTCTATAGTAAAATAGGCGAAATTGTTTGATAGTTTGATTTCAGGGATATGGTGGGGACGATTTGTTAGAATTTTGTGTATTTTCCAAAATTTTTTACTACCAGGGGACAGTTCTCTAAGAGTTTCCTGCCAATTTTAGTTCCTCCAACTGTTTAAACGAATTTTTATGTAGGCATTTAATTTGTTAAAGAGGCATTTATACTTTATGTTCCTGGTGAGCTGGTATTTTTTCCGGAATTTATTTTTTATAAAAAAAGAAAATTGTAGTAGGGGAGGAATGTTGTCGGGTTTGTATTGACAGGATACCTGTGGAATTGATTTTATCATGCCAGTTTTGACAGTCTCCATAAATTTATCGATGTTAAAATCTATATCGGAGTTTTTTCTTATAACAGGGTTAATATCTAGATTTTTATCTACTATTTTCCGAAATTTTTCCCAGTCAGCCAATTTGAAATTGAATTTTGGGATCGTGCTGGTTTTTATGGTTTTATTTTCCAATCGAAAGATCACCGTGTTATGATCCAAACTGAGACATGGTACCGAGATAAGCCGGGAAACATCAGAAATATTTTTGGTGAGGGCTAAATCAATAATGCTAGAT